ACATGATCTAAATATGATCTAAACATGATCTAAATATGATCTAAACATGATCTAAACATGATCTAAATATGATCTAAATATGATCCAAACATGATCTAAATATGATCTAAACATGATCTAAATATGATCTAAATATGATCCAAACATGATCCAAACATGATCTAAATATGATCTAAACATGATCCAAACATGATCTAAATATGATCTAAATATGATCCAAACATGATCTAAATATGATCTAAACATGATCTAAATATGATCCTAATATGATCCAAACATGATCTAAATATGATCTAAATATGATCCAAACATGATCTAAATATGATCTAAACATGATCTAAATATGATATAAATATGATCTAAACATGATCTAAATATGATCCTAATATGATCCAAACATGATCTAAATATGATCTAAATATGATCTAAACATGATCTAAATATGATCTAAATATGATCCAAACATGATCTAAATATGATCCAAACATGATCTAAATATGATCCAAACATGATCTAAATATGATCCAAACATGATCTAAATATGATCTAAACATGATCTAAATATGATCCTAATATGATCCAAACATGATCTAAATATGATCTAAACATGATCTAAATATGATCTAAACATGATCCAAACATGATCTAAATATGATCTAAATATGATCCAAACATGATCTAAATATGATCTAAACATGATCTAAATATGATCCTAATATGATCCAACATGATCTAAATATGATCTAAATATGATCCAAACATGATCTAAATATGATCTAAACATGATCTAAATATGATCCTAATATGATCCAAACATGATCTAAATATGATCTAAATATGATCCAAACATGATCTAAATATGATCTAAACATGATCTAAATATGATCTAAATATGATCCAAACATGATCTAAATATGATCTAAATATGATCTAAACATGATCTAAATATGATCTAAATATGATCCAAACATGATCTAAATATGATCTAAACATGATCTAAATATGATCCTAATATGATCCAAACATGATCTAAATATGATCTAAACATGATCTAAACATGATCTAAATATGATCTAAATATGATCCAAACATGATCTAAATATGATCTAAATATGATGTAAACATGATCTAAACATGATCTAAACATGATCCAAACATGATCTAAATATGATCTAAACATGATCTAAATATGATCCTAATATGATCCAAATATGATCTAAATATGATCTAAACATGATCTAAATATGATCCTAATATGATCCAAACATGATCTAAATATGATCTAAATATGATCCAAACATGATCTAAATATGATCTAAACATGATCCAAACATGATCTAAATATGATCTAAATATGATCTAAACATGATCCAAACATGATCTAAATATGATCTAAATATGATCTAAACATGATCTAAATATGATCCAAACATGATCTAAATATAATCTAAACATGATCTAAATATGATCTAAATATGATCCAAACATGATCTAAATATGATCTAAATATGATCTAAACATGATCTAAACATGATCTAAACATGATCTAAATATGATCCTAATATGATCCAAACATGATCTAAATATGATCTAAATATGATCTAAACATGATCTAAATATGATCTAAATATGATCTAAACATGATCTAAATATGATCTAAATATGATCTAAATATGATCCTAATATGATCCAAACATGATCTAAATATGATCTAAATATGATCTAAACATGATCTAAATATGATCTAAATATGATCCAAACATGATCTAAATATGATCTAAATATGATCTAAATATGATCTAAACATGATCTAAATATGATCTAAATATGATCCAAACATGATCTAAACATGATCTAAATATGATCTAAATATGATCCAAACATGATCTAAATATGATCTAAACATGATCCAAACATGATCTAAATATGATCTAAATATGATCTAAAATATGATCTAAACATGATCTAAACATGATCCAAACATGATCTAAATATGATCTAAATATGATCTAAATATGATCCAAACATGATCTAAATATGATCTAAACATGATCCAAACATGATCTAAATATGATCTAAATATGATCTAAATATGATCTAAACATGATCTAAATATGATCTAAATATGATCTAAATATGATCTAAATATGATTTAAATATGATCTTCTCCTGTTCCATCATCTTCTCTCTCTCTCTCCTCCCCTCTGGTCCCTGTCAACTTGCTCACGTGGGTCCGGCGGCTCCGTGGAGGTTCAGATCCTGGATCCGCTGAGCCGAGCTGGGCGCTCCACGCGGGAACTGTGGACAGCGCCAGAGTGTCCGGATCGCCTCGTGGGGTCCGCAGGAGGAGGGAGCCGCGAGAGGAGCTGGAGCCGCTGGAGGCCAGCAGCGGCAGCGGAGGAAGAGGAGGAGGAAGAGGACCGCTGTCCACCTCTCTCTCTCTCTCTCTCTGTCTGTCTCTCTCTCTCTCTCTGTCTCTCTCTCTCTCTCTCTGTCTCTCTCTCTCTCTCGAGCCACGCCCCTTCTCCGTGGCCCTCCCCTCCGCGCTAAACCGGACCACACAGGTGAGAAAGGTGGACCAATCAGAGCTCGAGTTGGAACCAGAACTCTGGCTAAACCTGTTTACGGTTTTATCAAAAGTATAAAAGTCATTTTTGTTAAAAGTAAAAAAAGAAGAAAAAAATACAATTGATTATCAATATCTGGGAAATATATATTTTTTGTTTTTAAGCCAGGATGTTTGATTTTATTTTAATAAAAACTGAACAGAAAAACAGTTTGGACACTCAGATTTGGGCCTCCTTCATTCTTCACTTCATTACATTTACTTTGTCTAGAAACAGAGGAAAAGCAATAATCTATAACCAGGAACAGAAGCTGATCATATCTATCAACCAGTTGCTCCAGTATTAGAGAGAAAATCATAATCTGACAGAATCAGACAGACGATTTCTGGACCATTTTGGGGGAAAATATAAAGAAAAAACTTAATAATTAGTGAATATTTTGAGGATTTTTTTTCCATTTTTATCAGCGACTGAGTCACATATTTAATCTGGAGAGAAAAATGTAATTCAGAGGAAAAAGAGTCAAAATGTGAGAATCAAACATTCAGGAGATTAAAATGAATCTCCACACAAAATTCCTCTGAACTGAAGGAGAAAGTAATAATTATATGATCCGTTTGTTAAGTGATGTTGGCTCTGCTGGTCTTCATGTGAAACAGCTGGCGACCGCGGGAAGCAGCCTGGGAATCGAACCTGCGACCACGAGGCCTGAGGCCTCCATTTGGTCATGGGTCGCCCCGGCGCCGCCACGGCGACCCAATGATCCGGTTTTACCTGAACACAGAACCTTTCAGGTTCTCCTGAAGGTTCTGGTTCTGATCCGTTTCTGTAGGTTCTGGTTCTGTTTGATGGAACTTCAGAGTTCAGATGCTGCGGGTCGGGCAGCCAGCTTTGTTCCTGGTGTAGCATCAGAACCGATCAGAACCCATCAGAACCGATCAGAACCCATCAGAACACATCAGAACCCATCAGAACCCATCAGAACCGATCAGAACCCATCAGAACCCATCAGAACCCATCAGAACACATCAGAACCCATCAGAACCCATCAGAACCGATCAGAACCCATCAGAACCCATCAGAACCCATCAGAACCCATCAGAACCCATCAGAACCGATCAGAACCCATCAGAACCGATCAGAACCCATCAGAACCCATCAGAACCGATCAGAACCCATCAGAACCCATCAGAACCCATCAGAACCCATCAGAACCCATCAGAACCGATCAGAACCCATCAGAACCCATCAGAACACATCAGAACACATCAGAACCCATCAGAACCCATCAGAACCCATCAGAACCCATCAGAACCGATCAGAACCCATCAGAACCGATCAGAACCCATCAGAACCCATCAGAACCCATCAGAACCCATCAGAACCCATCACAACCCATCAGAACCCATCAGAACCCATCAGAACCCATCAGAACCCATCAGAACCCATCAGAACCCATCAGAACCCATCAGAACCTCTGAGTTTACTTTTCTATAAAAATGTTTGTTTAGGTTTAAAATCATGAATAAAATCTGAAAAATGATTATTTAATAATCCGTATTCTAATGAATCTTAAGATTTGTGATTGAATAAACCCAAAGATCATAAAGTTGGGCGTTAAATATCACAACTTTAAAACAATGTAGTCTCTGGTTCCATTTAATACTGGTTTGACTGGGAGAGAAGCTTCTGGAGGGACTGGAGAAATAATCACCAGTTGAAACGTTAAAGCAGCTGCAGCATCTGATCCAGGAAGATTCAAAACGTTTTGGGTTTTTAATGAGAAAAGAAAATGTCTCCCTCATGTTTTATTGTCTTTACTGGTTTTATTCTGTCTCTGTCTCTGTCTCTGTGTTTCTGTCTCTATGTCTCTGTCTCGCTGTCTCTGTGTTTCTGTCTCTATGTCTCTGTCTCGGTGTCTCTGTGTCTCTGTCTCGCTGTCTCTGTCTCGCTGTCTCTGTCTCGCTGTCTCTGTCTCTGTGTTTCTGTCTCTGTGTCTCTGTCTCGCTGTCTCTGTCTCTGTGTTTCTGTCTCTGTGTCTCTGTCTCGCTGTCTCTGTCTCGCTGTCTCTGTGTCTCTGTCTCGCTGTCTCTGTCTCTGTGTTTCTGTCTCGCTGTCTCTGTGTCTCTGTCTCGCTGTCTCTGTCTCTGTGTTTCTGTCTCGCTGTCTCTGTGTCTCTGTCTCGCTGTCTCTGTCTCTGTGTTTCTGTCTCTATGTCTCTGTCTCGCTGTCTCTGTGTCTCTGTCTCGCTGTCTCTGTGTCTCTGTCTCGCTGTCTCTGTCTCTGTGTCTCTGTCTCACTGTCTCTGTGTTTCTGTCTCTATGTCTCTGTGTTTCTGTCTCTGTCTCGCTGTCTCTGTCTCTGTCTCTGTGTCTCTGTCTCACTGTCTCTGTGTTTCTGTCTCTATGTCTCTGTCTCGCTGTCTCTGTCTCTATGTCTCTGTGTTTCTGTCTCTATGTCTCTGTCTCGCTGTCTCTGTCTCTATGTCTCTGTGTTTCTGTCTCTATGTCTCTGTCTCGCTGTCTCTGTCTCTGTGTCTCTGTCTCTATGTCTCTGTGTTTCTGTCTCTGTCTCGCTGTCTCTGTGTCTCTGTCTCGCTGTCTCTGTCTCTGTGTTTCTGTCTCTATGTCTCTGTCTCGCTGTCTCTGTCTCTGTCTCTGTCTCTGTGTTTCTGTCTCTATGTCTCTGTCTCGCTGTCTCTGTCTCTGTCTCGCTGTCTCTGTCTCTGTGTTTCTGTCTCTATGTCTCTGTCTCGCTGTCTCTGTCTCGCTGTCTCTGTCTCTGTGTTTCTGTCTCTGTGTCTCTGTCTCGCTGTCTCTGTCTCTGTGTCTCTGTCTCTATGTCTCTGTGTTTCTGTCTCTGTCTCGCTGTCTCTGTGTCTCTGTCTCGCTGTCTCTGTGTTTCTGTCTCTATGTCTCTGTCTCGCTGTCTCTGTCTCTGTCTCGCTGTCTCTGTCTCTGTGTTTCTGTCTCTATGTCTCTGTCTCGCTGTCTCTGTCTCTGTCTCGCTGTCTCTGTCTCTGTGTTTCTGTCTCTATGTCTCTGTCTCGCTGTCTCTGTCTCGCTGTCTCTGTCTCTGTGTTTCTGTCTCTGTGTCTCTGTCTCGCTGTCTCTGTGTTTCTGTCTCTATGTCTCTGTCTCGCTGTCTCTGTCTCTGTGTCTCTGTCTCGCGGTCTCTGTCTCTGTGTTTCTGTCTCTGTGTCTCTGTCTCGCTGTCTCTGTCTCTCTGTCTCTGTCTCTGTGTCTCTGTCTCGCGGTCTCTGTTTTGTCTGTTTTCTTTAACTGTTTGTCTTTTTGCTGCTTTGAGGAAAAGTTTTCCCATTTTTGGGACAATAAAAGATTTTCCTCGTTTCCTGGAGTTCGGACCGGCACCGGCCCGTTTCTCTCTCTGGTCTGGAGGAAGTTCACCAGAGTTCACCAGAGATCTCAGGACTTCTGCTCACCTGAACCAGCCGCAGGTTCTGGTTCTGATTCCTCCTGGGTTCATTTTATTGTGTCTGTTCCTCGTCCCGGTTCTGTTGAGTTTCTGGTTCTGGTCAAGGTGAGTTTGTAGAACATGACCTGAATCTCTGCAATTTCATAATGTTCATCAGACTGATGGCTTCAGGAGCCGAACTGGGTCAGAGTTCAGGCTTAGTGGTTCCGTTTCGTAACTCCAGTCAGACGGAGGCTCCGTGCGTTACCTGCAGCCTCCGGCAGGGGGCGGCGAGGCAGGATTTCAGGCTGCAGAGGAAGAAGAAGAGGCGCAGCTGTTCCTGCCTCTGGGTCGGGTCTGGTCCGTCTTCGTTGATCGGAACCAGGACCCAGAATGAATGAGGACCTGCGGGCCGAGCTGCAGGACTTCCTGCGGAAGCTGGACATCCAGACCAGCTGCGTGGAGCATCCTCCGGTAAGAACCGAGCCGGTTCTTTTCAGGCTGCAGATGGAACCTGCCGAATCGCCGTACAGTTTCTGTCTGTTTAACTAAATCCTCCTCATTTGAACGTGTTGAACAGGGAAGGGTAATAACAAGTTGATTTCTTGATTCCCTCTGACTCGCTCTGTAATTCGGCGCCATCTTTCAGCATCACCGACCTTCCTGAAGAACGTTCTGCTTCACATGATACGTTCAGAGCGACTCACTGGTTCGGTTCACCAGCCGAACGGTTCAGCAGACCTGGATCACCGTCAGCCATGTGCTGGGAGGCTATTCTGGGATGCATACTGCTGCGAAACGCTTTTAATCCAATAATCTGCAGGTTTTCAAACGGAATCATTTTTAAGTGCCATATTTATATTGTGATTTCTGCTGAATCGCTGCTAACTGACCAGGTTTTATGTCTAAATGTAATAACTTAAACTTCTTTACGGAACTTTTCAGAAACTTTCAGTTTTTGTGGCTGACTCGTTTTAGTAGCGCTGATCCTTCTGGACCAGCAGAGGGCGCCACATCACAGCACACAGCTGGGTCCAGCAGGGCCTCCAGCTGCAGAGCCCGGTACCGGCCCGGTACCGGCCGTATGTGTCGAAACTAAAGCTACTCGATCAGCTCTGAGAACTGGACCTGGTTCCGTTTGTAAAATTAAACAAAAATCAACAGCAATAATTTGAGATATTGATCCTCCATCAGATTGAAAGTTGTTAATTTTACGGTCTTATTAATTCATTTATAAATGTCACAATTTCGAGGTAAATCTGTATTTAGCGAGGTAATTATTTCGTTTGATGATGTTTAATGATTATATTTGCTAAATAAGTATGTCTTTGTAGTTTGCTGTCTAATATTAAGTTTGCAAAAGCTAAACATTTCATTACCAAACTAAATATTTAATTTTGATTATTAAACATTTAGTTTGAATCTGTGGCATTTCCAAATGAATTAATAAGTGGGTAAAAGCAGGACTTTGGGAAATGAGAGAATCCGTCCTGCCTCCAATAACTCTGATCATTTTTCAATAAGTTTCTGAACAGCAGCTCCTATTAAGTTTGTTTCTGATCTTATTTTGGGGTTGATTTAATGAAGCTGGAGGTTTCATCGACAACCTGGATCAGGAGTTTCACTCATAGATCAGGTGAAGTTACTCTTCCTCCTGTAACTCTTCATCCTCCTCCTCTTCGTCGCTGCAGGGTGTTCACGATGGAGGAGATGATGCCTCATCTGCAGGACGTGAGCGGCGCCGTCACCAAGAACCTCTTCCTGAAGGACAAGAAGAAGAAAGGCCTGTGGCTGGTGTCGGCTCGCCACGACCGCCAGGTGAGGCCGGCTCCGCCTCCCGACCTCTGATTGGCCCGGCTGGCCTCCGATTGGCCCAGCTGGCCTCCGATTGGCCCAGTCTCACCTGTCCGTCTGTCTGTCTGCAGGTGAACCTGAACGATCTGGCCAAGAAGCTCGGCGTCGGCAGCGGCAACCTGCGCTTTGCCGACGAGGCCGCCATGATGGAGAAACTCAAGGTAGGTCCAGGTTCTGATGGTTCTGGTGGGTTGGAGTGGAGTCCATGTTGGATAACGTTTCCTCTTCCCCAGGTGGGTCAGGGCTGCGCCTCGGCGCTGGCGCTGCTGTTCGACTCGGACCGGAGTGTGCCTGGTTCTGGACCGGGACCTGCTGGACGGCGGCCATCAGCTGGTTTACTTCCACCCCATGACCAACAGCGCCACCATGGGGCTGCGGCCGCAGGACCTGCTGCGCTTCCTCAAGGAGACGGGTCACGAACCCGTCCTGGAGAGCTTCGACTAGCAACACCCGGTTCTGGCTCTGGACTAGAACTTATCTTTCAGGACTTGACCTTCAGGTTGGGAGTTGGAGGAAGCAGAACTTTTTAACTCGTGATGGTTCTAAGAACTTCAGCCTGAGGTCCAGAAACCCGACTTGGACCTCCGGGTTCTGGTTCTGGTTCCGTCTTCAGTCTCTTTCTGCCTCTGGTTGTCAACAATCTCACAAATAAACGTCCAGTTTTTTTAAAACGCCATCCACAAAGGCGAACCGTCTGCAGAACCTGATTAAAACCCAAACTGAACCGAGCTGCGGATCCAGAACCTGGTGCAGGTTCTACTAGAACATCCAGAAAGATGAAAATATTTCATAAAGCTTCAGAAAGTCATCCTGCAGATCCCTGGAGGAGATAAACCCAGAGGATCTGCTGCTGATTCAACCAGCGCTGTGAACTGCAGCTCCCCTGCTGGTGTCAGTGAGGTACTGCAGCACGTCAGAGGATGAATGCTGGTTATTAATCTGAATATTCCTCTAATATTTGAGTCAAACATGTTTATAAAACAAGCAGCAGAAGTTATGATTTAATGTAATCTGATCATTAAATCAGATTACTTCTGTTTTTACTGAACAGAAACCAGTAAAAACCCAAAGAGTGAAGAAACAAACTCATTTATCATGAAGTTCTGAGAGAAACAAAAAATTTTTAAAAACTAATTCATTCAATAAAAAAGACATTTATCCCAAAGGAAAATGTTCCCATGACTCTCCTGACATGCTAACAGCTAACATCCAGGCAGCAGTAACATTAGCTGAGCCGTTAGCAGCTCTGCTAATCCACCTCCTTTGCTTTTGCTTCTTCTCTCTAAATCTCACTGACCATCTGGTTAGAAGGATGTTGGAGTAGAGGATAAGACGAACTTCCTCCTCTCTGCATCATTTCCTCTGGGGTCAAAGGTCAGCCACTGTTGTGGCTTTTGAGATGCTAATCAGCGATCTAAAAACAAAAGCCTGTTGCCATGGCAATGCATCATGACAACAGTGTAAAGAGTGAAAATCCTTCCAGCTGCTCAGCATCCAGAACCACAGAGAAGAACGGTCCAAACATGCTTAACCAGAACCGGCAGAACCGAACCAACACGCCGCCACCGGGGGCGCTGTTCTCATGAGGCCCGTTTAGATTAGAGCAAAAACTTTAAACAGGTTTTAAACTCACATCTATTAAAAGGTTTTATTAACTGGAAGCAGAAAATCAACAGAATTAAATCAATTTTTAATTTATATCGCTGACAAACTTTTCATTATTCTCATTTATCAAATGAAAATGAACAATAATCTCTTTATTTTTCTGTTTTAGTCCAAACAGAGAAAACTCATCAGATTTTTTAGTTTTTGTTGGTTCTGATGGTTCTGATCCAACGGGTCAAACAGAACCTCTAGAACCTTTAAACATTTAATTTATATTCTAAACGTCAGGAATGTTTGGCATAAATCAGAGCAACAAGTAGAGATGAGTGTGTGTGTTAATGTGTGTGTGTTAATGTGTGTGTGTTAATGTGTGTGTGTGTTAATGTGTGTGTGTTAATGTGTGTGTGTGTGTTAATATGTGTATGTTAATGTGTGTGTGTGTTAATGTGTGTGTGTGTTAATGTGTGTTAATGTGTGTGTGTGTTAATATGTGTGTGTGTTAATATGTGTGTGTGTTAATGTGTGTGTGTGTGTTAATGTGTGTTAATGTGTGTGTGTGTTAATATGTGTGTGTGTGTGTTAATGTGTGTGTGTGTTAATGTGTGTGTGTGTGTTAATATGTGTGTGTTAATGTGTGTGTGTGTTAATGTGTGTGTGTGTTAATGTGTGTGTGTGTTAATATGTGTGTGTTAATGTGTGTGTGTGTAATGTATGTGTGTGTTAATGTGTGTGTGTTAATATGTGTGTGTTAATGTATGTGTGTGTTAATGTGTGTGTGTTAATGTATGTGTGTGTTAATGTGTGTGTGTTAATATGTGTGTGTTAATGTGTGTGTGTGTTAATGTGTGTGTGTGTTAATGTATGTGAGTGTTAATGTGTGTGTGTTAATATGTGTGTGTTAATGTGTGTGTGTGTTAATGTGTGTGTGTGTTAATGTGTGTGTGTGTTAATGTGTGTGTGTGTTAATGTGTGTGTGTGTTAATGTATGTGTGTGTTAATGTGTGTGTGTTAATATGTGTGTGTTAATGTGTGTGTGTTAATGTATGTGTGTGTTAATGTGTGTGTGTTAATGTGTGTGTGTTAATGTGTGTTAATATGTGTGTGTTAATGTGTGTGTGTGTTAATGTGTGTGTGTGTGTGTGTGTGTTAATGTGTGTGTGTGTGTGTTAATGTGTGTGTGTGTGTTAATGTGTGTGTGTGTGTGTTAATGTGTGTGTGTGTTAATGTGTGTGTGTGTTAATGTGTGTGTGTGTTAATGTGTGTGTGTGTGTGTTAATGTGTGTGTGTGTGTTAATGTGTGTGTGTTAATGTGTGTGTGTGTTAATGTGTGTGTGTGTGTGTGTTAATGTGTGTGTGTGTGTGTTAATGTGTGTGTGTGTGTGTTAATGTGTGTGTGTGTGTTAATGTGTGTGTGTGTTAATGTGTGTGTGTGTTAATGTGTGTGTGTGTGTGTGTTAATGTGTGTGTGTTAATGTGTGTTAATGTGTGTGTGTGTTAATGTGTGTGTGTGTGTTAATGTGTGTGTGTGTGTGTGTAATGTGTGTGTGTGTTAATGTGTGTGTGTGTGTTAATGTGTGTGTGTGTGTTAATGTGTGTGTGTGTTAATGTGTGTGTGTGTGTTAATGTGTGTGTGTGTGTGTGTTAATGTGTGTTAATGTGTGTGTGTGTGTTAATGTGTGTGTGTGTGTTAATGTGTGTGTGTGTTAATGTGTGTGTTAATGTGTGTGTGTGTGTTAATGTGTGTGTGTGTTAATGTGTGTGTGTGTGTGTTAATGTGTGTGTGTTAATGTGTGTGTGTGTGTGTGTTAATGTGTGTGGTGT